GCACGTACCTGCTTGACGAAGTCTCCCGGTCAATTTCTTCATGCCCCTATGTCACATCATCAATTGAACACCTCGAGGTTTCACCCAGCTTGGTGTAGTGACAGCGTGTAATGCTCGCCGAGGAAGGTGGTTAACCAACGTTAGCGATTCAACTTCAAGAGACACTAAAGTGATTCACCGGAGAGTTTCTCGCAAAAGAAATAACTAGCGGACCTCAGCATTGCTCACCCTGTGTTCCCACACCAGATGCGTGCAATACTGTGTGAGACCCGGTGATCAAAGACGGCCAACCGTTTGATGTCTTCCGTACGAACTGGTCAAGTCTCAGTGCATACAGTAGCACCGGCCTTCTCGCAGCTGTTCCCAGAACTATAGGTTTGTCCCACACTGAAACATAGCATCCATGAACGCAATGTGAATCTGTATTTAAGTTAGTATTGCCACCAGGTGATCTTCCAGATTTTGTTACCCCAACGCAGGAACTCAACCACATCACGTTTACGGCGGAAGTTGTCTTGCAAAAGCTTACGTCTGCCCAACCACAGCTCCCATGGTGTCGATATTACTCGCCCAGAAGCACTGGGAGCAGCGTCACGACAACTGGCAGAACCATTGGCTCAGTTCTTTCAGCGGTATCACTTCATCCTGCCGACTCATTGGTGTGCTATCCGGAAAACTGTAACATCATTTCTCTCAAGCAACATGGCTTTCGCCGACAGCGATCGTGCACAACAAATTTACTGATAGCCCGGAGTAGCTGGACCTAGTCAGTTGACGCAGGAGAGAACGTCTATGTGGTCTACTATGATTTCTCGAAGGCATTCGACAGTCTGAATCAACTGATTCTTCTCTTCAAGCTGCAGTATTATGACATCGGTGACCCCTCTTCACCTGGACTACCAACTTTCTCCTACAACGGCATCTGGTGATTAGAGTTCGAAACTCCTTAGCAGACCCCATACATGTTGAATGTGGTACGCCTCAGGGCTCTGTTCTAGGGCCACGATTATTTTTGGTATTTGTCAACGAACTGGCACAGACGATGGGTTCAAGTTTTCTCATGTTTGCTGTGTGCACAGAGCTCACAGAAACAAACCTATTAAGCAAAGTCAATATCGCGCTCAACGCTATCCATCAAGGTATCTAATTAATCAGGCCATCTTCCAAGCTGGGGTCTGATGGCATTACATCAACCACCATTAAACTAGGAGGATCTGATATACCATTGCTACTGATGAGCATGGTCACTCTATCGCTGGAATCTGGCCACTTTCCAGATCAGTGGAAAACGTCATTTGTTATGCATCGACATAAAGGAGGTCCCAAACAAACGATCGATAACTACCGGCCAATCCATCACACTCCGATAATTGCCCGGCTATTTGAAAAGCTGGTCAGAATGGAGATGATGAACTTTGTTGGTTCTATTGTCCTGATCAACAATTCGCAACATGGTTTTCTCAATAAGCGATCGTGCATCACCTGTCAACTGCATTACCTTAATCACATTTCAGAATTAATCGATTCCGGCCATGCAGTAGTAATCTTGTTTCTTGACATACACCAAGCGTTCGACCGAGTACCGCCCAAGCGACTGCCACAAAAGTTGGATAACTTTGGGATCCGGGACCCATTACTAGGTTGGCTATCGTCATACCTGAGTGATCGTCATCAGATAGTCAACACCCAATTTCCATCTGCTTTGAGTACGGTCCCAGTGATCGCAGTGACTAAGGTTCACTTCACTGTGAATCACAGCACATTACATTGAGACTGCGCGTCGCAATCCAATACATCGTGTAGTCCAAACTTGACCTTCCAATTAGTCATTTACCGTTGTGCCAAGCGTTGCCCACCGTGACCCGGTAGCCAAAGGGGTAGAAGTTGCGGATACTATTCCAATGGTCGCGGGATCGAGGCCTGTTGTCTCCACCTGATGGGATGAAATTACATCGAAACTCGTCGTGGATTTGCAGTGTTTTCGGGTGGGCAACACCCAATTTCCATATAAACACCATGTTTTCATAACTAGGCTTTGGCCTCAAACATCCGCCAGAATGTTAATACATGAAACGCATATCCCAATACTCCACTTATGCATGTCACCCATGCAAGAGCATGGATTCTTCTGTACATATTGATCTGGGCAGCTATTGACACAGTTTCTCTCAGCAAGAGAAATATACGTATTATTATTAGTAGTGATACGTATATTTATAGAAGCAGGATTAGACGGACCTAGATATCATGGAAGGTGATGTTGAAAGTGTGCACCTACATTCTTATTACAGTACAGAAATCGCCTGATGCAGTTAGCAAGAAATTCCTACAACTTCGCGGTGGTGATAGCATGGCATTCATTCACAATATTCTGCTGCAATTGCTCGAGGGAAATCGGCTTGTTTCTGTAAACCCTTCGTTTCAAATATCCCCAGAGAAAAAAATCCAGCGGGTTTAAATCGGGTGACCGTAAGGGGCACTCGATGGGGACTCCACAGCCGATCCAACGTTGCTCGAATTCCTTTCAGAGATGTTCTCGCACCGATTGAGCATAAAGTGCTGGTGCACCATCATGCTGCAACCATATGGTACTGCGAACTTCGCCCGCCTTCAACTGTGAGGACACACAAATCTGGAACAATTCCAAGGGCGACGATGTTACTATAAGTAAGGGTTGAGTAATATAAAACAACGTACCGGTCACGTTCCTGGAAAAGAAAAATGGTAAGCGATTTTCTGACAGGTAACTCCAGCCCAGATCATCAGCTTGGCGCTATGTTGAATACATGACGCTGTGTATCTGCGTGGATTTGAACTACCCAGGAATGTCGTTTGTCCGTTCCATGCAAATGAAAAACGGACTCATCCGTAAACACTACGGAGTGAATGCACGTGATTCAGAAACCAACGACAAAATGTATTCCGCTTATCCGACTCGTTTGGATTTAATACCTGAAACTGGAGTGTAAGAAACTGACGAAGATTGCGTTCTTTCAATGAAAGATAAACCGGTGAAGTTGGATAGTGTACCTACTAGCCCCAGTGTGTTGAGTTCCGGTCTTTTAGCTGGGTAGATTCACTTATGCTGCATAACTTCTGCTTGTTCCACCGTGCATTTCCACGTCCCATTGTTAGGACAAACTGCACACACCTCACTGGCGGGTGAATGCGTACCTTGCCGTGACACTAGTACGTGTTTGATCCAATGCACCTCAAACCGATACCAATCGTTCTCAGGAGTGGGTGAGATCATGAGAATCTCCGGGCGGTATGCCGATCACCCACAAAATTAGACAAAATGTTTCACGCAAATGACAACATTGTTCACTAACTACTTGGTGAGTAGGGTTACGAATTCATACTCGGATCCCAGTTGCAAGCAGGTTAACCGTTTTGACCGCCGTTGCAACCATGGGAAGTCTACAAACGATACTAGACTGTCTGATTTTATTAGAAAAAAGGAGAACAAACCAGTAACTTGTCAAACCTATTTCAGTGTAGAAACCTCAAAATTTAACACAAAGTGAGGTCGACTGCGCACTCTCAGATTGCTCACTATTACAGAACAGATACATTGGGGTTAACTGCATTCTCCGTGCCATTGGTGCTATTAATAGTATGTATGATAATGAAGTCCTGATAAAAATATGATAAATTCTGCATGCTTCACTCGGAAATTGACCGAGAGACTTGGTCAAACAGGTACCTGCCGTCTTTGTAGATTGGAGCCTCGTGCTAGTCCAAACCAATGGTTAGAGACTCGATCGGACGTGGCGCATTGTCGGAGTCAGTGCTGCCCCTGGATTCCTTCTCTTGCGTGTGGCTGTTCATACTTCAATGCGATTAGCTTCATACACATCGTTCTTGCTTCCATTCTGCTAATACCATATTTAAGTCTAACCGCATTTACTTATCATTCTTCATTTTGCCACTTTGGCGACGCGATGCGTGGCAACTGCATCCACAGCACTTTGGTGCCCGGATCATGGTTTATCAACTGCACTGAAACCGCCGAGTAGTCTTTAAGTATCGTAGCTTATTTAGGAAAGAGAAATTCCAGATAGAACTTGGTTCACTTAACAGAAAAGCAAAACATTACAAAGTCGTTATCATACATAATGTGAAAGGTCTAGTTGAAACTGATGCTTTTCTCCTACACTGCTAGTTTTCAGTCTACCGGCGTGTCCAGCGTAACTGTGTTTTAACATTACCTTTGATACAAATATGGGCACATCGAAAACTTATTTCTCACGTGTACGTCAGTCTGTCTACTTTAATGAGAACATAGCTGCGATGAAACAGCAGCAGTTGTACTCCACGTGTACGTTCGTCCGCCAACGCGATGTCCATTTTCTGTACCAAAGTAGACCCTGCACGTAACGGTAACTTCAGTGCTACGGCTAAACATCAGTCAGTACGGAGCCCACAAGCATCCAGTTCTCCGCGAAACATTCTGTCCTCAAACACTGACCAGAATGTATCGATCATACAAGTGTCCCTAGTTTGCGCCTCATCGTGCGAATTGCTGTGCAAGTTGGGGTACGCAGACGTCGCACTTGTGTGCGTAGTGCACCGTGTGAGATCCGACTGGATCTCCGGACTGCCGTTAGAAGTTCTCGTGTTTTTCTCGGAGCGCGCAATGTGCGGAAATTTACGGTGCGTACGTGACAAGCGGCAGACAAATCTCGGCCACACGATAAGTTCTATGAGGTGTTGCAGCAGCGATTCTGTAATGTAAGGACAACATTCTGCGGGCGCAACCGTCGCCAAACGCATGGTAGCTTAGATAACACTTATCGAGTTACTTACATATTTTATAAGTAGTATGTAAATTATTAGTCCATACTGAGCACCTACTCACCTGCCTTCATCCGAGAAGCTCCGTATTCACCAGGACTTGACGGCTTTTTAATCACGAAGGAAAAGAAAAAAGTACTGTGTAACATTTCCTCATCTTACTATACAACTTTTGGATTTTTAGTGAGAAGGATGAACTCCGCTGGATTCTAAATGCATTTGAAAAACAAAATTATCTGCCAAATCAACGGCGGTCACTTGTTTCGCATCAGAGGATATTAGAGGTAAGATAAAATTCATGTCGTTAAAAAAATAATGGGTCACTGTACATCCAGGTTCAATCTGCACTGGAAACTGAGATCAATCACCACAGCACATTGTGCAGCAGCAAGGTTCAGCTTTGTCTGTCAATGTGAGAGACGCCGAAAAGTAACGATTCGATTCCAGGCAAATGCGTCAGAGAGACGGGTGGTATCGACTCAGTCTTTAGCACACATGTCGCGCTCAAAGTGCTCAGTGGATTGGGAGGCTCTAACGGGTCCGGATTTGGGCGGACGTTTGGTAGCGCGGTGTCGAGGAAAACGAGGCGACCTAATTCGTCCAGGGATGGGCTAGGCCCCGACGTATGAATGTCCTCGAAGCCGGGAGTTGGAGTTAACTGTGCGCTTTCTGCAGCCACGGAGGTAAGAGTGTGACTAGAGTGAACGGATGGCGATGTGTTGGTGCTATCGTCAATCCACGAGTGCATGGTGGTTTTGAAGGAAGAACGACTTTGGGCATCGGGCCGAACAGCGAGCCTCCACGAAGCGCCATCTGGTGACTCAGACTTTAGAACTTCCTCGAAAGGTGTGTATTGCAATCTTTTAGCATCCTGATGCCCATAACAGCTATCTTGGGCGAAATCCGACAGTGGCACGGAGGCATGATAGGCAACAGACTGATCTAGATCATCAGCTAGCCGAGGATTCAAAGAGTCATCTTTAATAAATTGTTTCTGTGTTCGGGGATCACAAAGGGATGAAGATGTGGACCCGATCGTCTGTATATCCACTCGCAGCGGTTTCGTAACGCTGGCATTGACATCTTCAGTGGAGAAGGCAGTTGGTACTTTGTGTAACCTCTCGAGAGCGCCGGCACGGTCTCCCACCGAGCCATCGACGTACACAGCGTGACAGTCTGTGGCTGGGGTGTTGTTTCTCTCCGTCAGAGAATTGATCCCGTTTGCCAACACCAGGGCTGTCAGTGTGGCCTTGGATTCATCTGCGGTGGGGCTGAAAGACCATATCATCGGTCTGGAAGTTTCAGAACTGCTTTGTAAAAACGGGTTCACCGATTGGCAGGCGAAGACGCCGAAATTCACGTCTATAAATTTGGCCGCAGATGCGTCTATAGTAACATTCGGAGCAAATTCAAAGGAATAGGCTGCAGTGTCTGTGGAACCAGCGGATGTAAGCGGTCTAATGGGTAGGTATTTGCCTCGATGATCAGCAGAAAGCTCTAAAAGTCTCTTCAACTGAGGACGGAGGCTTTCATCCTGAACTTCTCCATCTGGGCAGTTAGAACTCGCACTGATGCTTTCTTGCTGAGGAAAAGGCCGATTTGACGAAGATGCCCTAGAAGCATGATGCCCTCCACGGACCCGTTTCTTCGGTTGGAATTTGTATTCCGGATATTCGATAGAGTGTAGGTCTTGCAAACGAATCGCCTCTTGTGCGTACTCTTCCCTAGTCGACTTATCCAACTGACGCCAAAGGAGTCCTACGCGTCGGCTAATGCGCGCATTGTGAGCCTCGGGGAACCGTCGTAACGTTGCGCGTCTGATGTACTGCGCAAAAATCTGATAAAACAGAAGGAGCACAGGGATTGTCAATTAACACTTTACCATGGAAAGGATATGTGAAACACAGTTCAGTCAAAAGGGCGTGATAGTGTACTGGTTGTCAAGAATTACCAGATGATGCGTGGTATCAGGTAAAAGGAAGTGAAGTGCTTGCGGAACGGTTTCAAATGAATTGGAAAACTGTTGATCTAATGAATAGGAATGGGACGTTCACAGAGTGCGTCTGTGACTCGTATTTGAAATGACAGCTACGTTTCATCGGCCAGATGCGGCCCTCATCGGTTCGTGGGCGGTTAACAACGAGCAACGCATTTAGTCCTACAGGTCAAAGATGAAACGGGCACTACTTGGGGCATCGGTTAGGCATCATGTTATGGGCATAGGAAGGTACCGTGCGTATACCGACAATGCGAAAACGCCATTGATAACGCATAGATGAAGTTTAGCTCAATTTCGCTCTCAATTGGGTCATACCACATTAATGTGCGCCCGAGTAGATTACAAAGATTTTCTATTCACTGGGGGTCGTTGCAACACAAACTGGAGTTGGTGACATCACAGGTTCCAATCCACTAGCACCAACTAAAAGAAAATCGCAACATCGTGTGATTACAACCCGTGTTCAGCGAAGTTTAAGTTGACGCCTTAACGAGTCGTTGTTTTCGGGGGGTTAATCTATCACATACTGATGAGTAGAGTTAGCGAAAATGAATGAGGAAAGAATGGGGGCACAATAATCGATGTCTTACTGACACAAACGGTGAATGATTCGACCTCGAATACGTAGTGCACATATGCTTCCGAGATCCACATTATAGTACAAATATGCCATGATGTTCATTATTGGGTCCCGGAGTACCCACCGTGTGTCTGGATTGCGACACGCAGTCTCGATTGAGACTGCAGTTTGTTTGAAGTAAACCTATGCCATTTCGATCGCTAAAGAGTTTTGGAGTCCAAATCAGGACGAAACCGGCCGATCGTGGAATGCAGTGTTGGGGAAGAGCAGATCCGAAACTCTCCATGCCGTGACGTGTGCAACAACGGAATAGGTGTGGATAAATGGTAGGTGTTACTCGCTCGCAACAGTGCTGTCTCCACCTGCTGAGTGCAAATGAGTACGAAATTAGCGCAGTGTCACGAGAGTGCAACCCCTAACATTCACCTGCCTCGGATGCGATCCTAATGGCTGGACCGACCTTCACTCCGAAAATAGTCATCATCAGTACGCCGCTGCGCAGTATCGACTCGTCGATGCCGCACAACCTCCACCAGTCGCACGTGGAGGATACTGCGAGGGTCGCTCCGTACCTACGCAGGCTCAAATCCGCGCCCTCGAATTGCGCTCGTAATCCGCTCACGCAACGAGTGTTTCCTAGTGAATCTCCAACAGAATTACGGTGCTGTAAGATATCCTAAATAGGAGGGATTGGAATGTTTCAGAGTATCATCTCCTTTTCACTAATAGCCGCTCCCGAAACACCAGAGCAGTCCGCGTTATCCACTCAACGTTGCGCCAACACCCAGTAGCGGATTCGACAGGCTCGACCACGTCAGTAAAAAGCTTTCCACTCTAATGCAGTTTCGCTGCCGTCCGTTTGTGGGTTAACGCCGAGGACAGATATACTCGGAGACGAATACTATGAATACTCAAAGATTTCGTCCCCTCAACATAAACTTAACCACATCATAATGGTCGTGTAGACAATGCGTGTATCCGAAACCATGTCTCTCGGTGGATAGTAAGCCGATGGAAAAGGGTGAAAGCTAAATGACGGGCAAAAGGGATGCGGGATGCATTTGGAAGAGCGTCCATAATCTGACGGTGCATCAAAACAGAACAAAAGATTGCTATGCTGTGTGATGAGGACAGCGGTAATGGTCGATATGACCATGAAACCAGTTATGGTATCGTGTGACTCACTGTCCACTGACTGGCAAGTGATTACCGTGCAGAGAACATGGTTTCCTCAAGAGCGACGCCTTCCCTAATTTAAGTTACTAACTAACATGTGGCGTCATAGGCAGTTTGAGCAGAGCACTTGTTACAGAGGAGTACTAGTGGGACATGAATGGTACTCGAACTCATCACAGTTGGACTCAAATGTGTGATTGTCGTCTGACCGAGCATAGACGCGATGAACTCATACTATCCGAAACTCCCTTCTACGTTCCCTGAAGCACAATTGGGCAGACGATTTTAGGAGCGCCAACCACAGTGCGTTGCGGGAATTCTCTTGAGTCTGGGCGCCGGACAGTCCGTCACTATCAGTCTCCACCACTATGGCACGGATGGACCCATCCCGCGTAGGTTGGTATGCGCCCGGATCAATAGGCGATCGTCAATACTCTTAGAAACCATGGCAGAAGTAGTCCAAAAGTCACCTACATGTCTGGGTGAAAGTAACACACTTGTCCGGACCACAATACCTGCCATCTTCATAAGTATTGTCACTGGATTCAGGTGATTAACATCTCCGTCTAAAGGACGGTTACAGTTGGACGATAAAGGTTCCCATACCGCATGTAACGACGTTCCCCGTCGCCCAGTCATGCCCTTGCGCAAAAATGACTATGCGATATCATACAATCGTGCCATACATCTCCATCCTATACGTTAGCCATAGGTGGAAGACAACTCAGCTACTGTGCCGTAAGACATGGAAGGAAAAATAATAATAATGTGTCAGCTGTACGCCGTAACGGCGCTTCGCTGCCGCGTAACCACCACCAGTCGCGTGCGGGCTGAGTATACCGCGAGGACGCCCACCCCTACGCGGATTCGAACCGGTGACCTTATGGTTGCAAAGCAAACTTGCAGACCACTCGGCCACCGGCCGACAAAGGAAAAAAGAAAAATGTAACCGATACAAGCCAGCTGAGCCACCGGCAACGGAAAGCTACCAATCGGCTACAAGGCAGTAAATAAAAAACATTTATTATGAAAAGGAAGCTAAGAGGGATGAGGAGGGACAAAGAAACTCACAGCACGAACGCTACTGCGGTCGGCTCCTAGCCATATCGACAAGTGTATCCAACCAAACGTATTCATCGTCCTTCGGACCCCAACCAGGGAGCCGAGACGTTCCAACCGAGGCCAGCTTCGAAGTGAGGGCCTCCATTCCTCTCGATCAAGTCATTGCTTGACCACCTCTCCTCTTGCTTCATCCACACCCCCGGCGCGCAAACAACGCACGTCGCGGGAGCCGGTGGACTGGCATGCGTAACAGGTGGACGAGCCATCGGAGCCTGGTGTGTGAAATAACGGTGCAGAGAGGTTCGTTTCTTTTTACTGTGCCAAAATCAAGGCATCGAACACGCTCGTGGTTCACGCGGTGTTCCCACCAGATGTGAGCCAAATTGCGAAGGCACCGATGGTCGAACGTAACTAGCCTCTTCATGTCTACCGATTTTACGGGCCAGGTTTCGCAACCGTCCAGTAGGGTCGAAGGTACCGCCGCATTGCACACTCTACTCTTCAGAGCGAGAGTGATGTCGCGCCGGCACCATAAGTGGCGAAGGTTAGCAAAAGCGCCCCGAGCTTTTGCTATACGATTCGTGATCTCATCTTCAATCCCACGGGTGCTGACACAACTACCCAAGTAGTTGAATTTTTGAACGACTTCTAGCTGATCCCCACCAAAGGTCAGCGCAGGAGGCAAACCCTGTCAATCTTGGAGGAAAGCTTTGCACATCGAGGGAGCAAAGCATAGCCCGAAACGGTTGACAGCCATTGCTAACCTGTCCAGTGCCGCTTGGCACGTATGGGAGCTGTCACAGATGATGGCAATATCGTCAGCATATTCCAAGTCAAGAAGTCGTTCACCTCGGAGCGGCTCCACACCTTCTAAGTCGTGTCCTGTGAACGCAATCTTCATGACTTCGTCAATAGCCAAGTTGAAGAGGAAAGGTGACAGTGGGAATCCTTGTCTCACACCGCTGGAGATAATGAAGGGCGACGACAACTTGCCGTAAGCCCTTACTCTGTCCGAGCTACGCGCGTATAATGCTCGGATAATATTTACATATTTCTCGGGCACACCTTTCCTGACGAGACAGTCCCAAAGAGCACATCGATCAACCGAACCGAAGGCACCTTTGATTTCGGAGAACATTGCAACCGTGGGTCGCCAAAATTTGTGACGGTGCTCCAACAGCTGACGCAAAGTAAAGATGTGGTCAATGCAGCCACGACCTCGACGAAACCCGGCTTGCTCTTCACGAATATGCCTTCCACGAATGCCAGTCAGTTTGTGAATGAAGGCAGATGCAAGCAATTCGGAGGCGATGGAGATCAGACTGATTTCTCTACGGTTGTCGCACTCCGATCGTGAGCCTCCCTTGAAAATTGGGACTATGACGGAGCGGCTCCAGTAGGTTGGGGCAGTTTCCTGCTCCCCCAGTTTCACTAGTAACTCGTGTAAATCTTTCACAAAAGCAGGTCCCCCAAATTAGAAGAGGGCAAAAGGAAGATAATCTGGTCCCGCGGCTTTATTTAACTTCAACAGTCCGATCTCACATTCGATTCCTGAGCGAGAGGGCGGATCCAAAGGGACAGCCCAGAGAGCAGGGCGATCAGTGGCGGGCGAGAAATCTGACAATTCCGGCGATTAAATTACCTTTCAAAGTGCTCAGCCCAACGCCCCAAGCGTTTTGACAAATTGTGGATAGGCTGTCCACTCTCGTCACGTATAGCTTCACTAACATTAGGTCTCCTGCTGCCCGTTTCCTGTATCAGATGGAACAACTTCCGATGCTTACCAACGGCAGCGGCCACTTCTATCTCTGACGCACGAACAGACCACCACGATCCGCGGCCTCTCTTCAGGCTATCATGGAGTTTTGCCTGTAGGTTCTTGCAAGTCTCAATGTGTTCGCTTCCAACCTGAATATGCCGGCGAGCATGTATAAGTTCCAGAGGCTGCGAAGAGATCCGATGTTCATGTGTGCTAGTAGACTTAATGTTGTGTCCCAATATGCGCAGTAGGCTTAGCCGC